CCCTCAAAAATTGGACTCAAGTTCCTTAAATCCTAATTTTACAATCCACTTTAAAAGAATTTCTAAATTTTTCTACAATAGTTTTCATAAGCTGTTCACAAAGATTAACCTTTTTTAAAAAGTGTTTGTGACCTTTAGAACTGAATGCAAATTTGTCCCTTTGATTATATTAGACACCAAGTAAAGGATCCCAAGGGGGGTAAAAGAGATGCAATTTTTAGAAATACAAGGACTTTCAATGTTTAAATTTTGATGGATCATCACTGATTAAATAGAGCCTAAGTCCTTTTTGATTAGAAAGAACTCCAAAATATTTTAAGCATAGCCTTATCTTTCAAGTAATAGCCCTAGAAACAATAATGCAGATATATATATATATATATATATAGTGCAATTTAATTTCAAGTGCCCCATATACTTATTTTTCCTCAGGAAAAAAGTGGATATATTTAAAAGCACTTTCAACTTTAGCTATACTGTATAAATGCCATTTCACCTAAATTACTGAAGAATTTTCAGCAAATATTTTTTGTCTCTTAAAGCTTTTGAAGGGCTGCACTTAGTGTGTTTTAAGTAAACTGCAACTCAGTTTTTAAAACAGGATTAAAGAAATGTTGACTCAAAAAATGAGACTTTTCCTCCTCATCTCAAACATAATTTTTTTCAGGTACTAGTAAGTTACATGATGATTAGGAAGCATAATTTTTTCCTCAGAAACCATCCATTAAACAGCTCCTCTAAGCCTCAAGTTTTTTTTTAAAAGTACAGTTCAGACACCCAACATTTACTTACACAGATTAATACTGTATGTTGAAGATACTTTCTTGTTGTCAAATAAGCAATGTATTGCTATCATCCAGTATTCATTTTTAAGTTGCTGGTTTTTAATTACTACAGAACTCAAGGGTTTTTTTTTTTAATTTTACACATTAAAATGTATTGGAGAAGGGAGAGAAAGTGTGGAAAATATAGAGTAACTCTTTGAGAACTTGTTCTGTTTTTAATTAGGAAATTTTATAAAGATATCTTGTTGCTGTTCTTAAATTAATTCTACAACAGAAGCCAAGTGATTTTCTGGTCTTGAATAGTAATGATCCAGATTTTCTTTATCAATAATGTATATATTAACGATATTTATATCAAATGCATTATATTTCTATACAGTACCTCTAAAGACAACCGTTGCACTTGTCATCAGGGACTACTGATATCATTAGCATATAATTAATTCTGACAGAGTAGTGAGTTTATCCTTTACTTTCACAACTGGAAAAAATAGCAATTTAGCTGTGGAATTTTGCTCAAATTCAACTTACATGAATAAAACCAGTAATTTTACTTTGACACAAGAAATCAAACTTTTTGATATTTAAAATATAAAAGACATGAATTTGCTGACACTCCGTGTCTTGTTTTTATCCGTTTTTCCCCACTCTTTCCCCAAATAAAAAACATTCACAATTGAAAACGTTACCTATATAACCTCAGTAGCTTCTTTAGAAGTTACAGCAGAGTTCTTTAACAAACGAGGTTATTTCACCAAATCTTTTTGAAGCTTCCACAAATCAAACAGTGTCCTTAATATACTTCTAAGATTAAATATCAGTCTTTTAAAATCGCAGCTAGGACCCATCCTTATACACGTTCGTTTAAGGGTGGACATTTTTGCCCATTCAGTGAGAGCAGAGATCCCAAGCTATGAGGACAACAAGTAACGATTTCGTTAAGCCCTCAAAGACGTCTTAGCCTTGCTACACTTTCTGAGGTTGTTAAAGCCCTAAATTCCTTAAATCCTAGGTTGCTAAATGTCTTGAATTCTTTAAATTCTAATTGTTTCCATCATGTCAAGAACACCAAAACACAAACAGGTCAGACTCACTCTCTTGAGATGTATGAGTCAAGGACGGTTCTCAAAGAACCTGCCTGCTAACAGGTGGCCGAGGGACCTCGGGCCCCGCGCCGCCACCGCCGCTGCTGCAGCCTCGCAGGCGGCCCGGACGCGCCCCGCCCGCCCCCGCTGGGCAGCCCGAGGGCCGCCCCCGGGCCTGTCCCTCCGCCAGCCTCCCCAGGCCCTGGGAGGAGCACGTGCTCCCCTCGAAGCTTCAGGCCGGGCCTCCGCACCTGAACGCTGCTTTTCACACTCTCTCCTGAGGCGCAGGCGGCCGCCGAATCTTCTAGAAGCTTCCAAAAGCCCTCGAGCCGCCCAAGCAGCCTCGCGCTCGAGCCCCTCCCTCAGCCTCGGTAGACGGTCTGAAGTTCTGCACCGTCCCAAGCTGACTGGGGCCCGTAACGACCGAGGTCCGGGGTGTGGGTACCTTGCTCGCAGGGGGCCTGGCGCGCTCAGCTCTGCACAGTCGCGTCACGCGGTGTCGCGCCACCGACGAGCCCAGAAGGCCCACCGCGCGCACCTCGGAGCCGCGAGCCGGGCCACCGCCGCCTGGGCCTCGAGCAGCGCCAGGAGCGTCGGGCGCTCCCCAGTCCGAGCGCCCAGGCCGGCTCCCGGCACGTGCTGGCCCAGCACCGAGGGCCACGTGCGCCCCGCGGGGCTCTCCGCCGCTTCTCGCTGGAGGCGGTGCCTGGGGGGGCGCCGCGCGGGTGTGGCCGCCCGGCTCGGGCGGTGAGCGAGGGCGGCGCCGGCCAGGCTGGGGGAGGCGGGGGCTGCGCTCTCCCGGCCTGCACGGAGTCGGGAGGACAGGCTGGTGAGGGGGCCAAAGGAGGGTCAGAGCCGCCGGAGAGCCAGGGTGGACGCCGCCAGGAGGCTCTTCACCCCCAGGGCTAGCGCGAGACCCCGGGGAGGGGGTGCTCGGCCCCCGGCCTCGCCGTGGGCTCTCAGGTCCCACGTGGAGTACAAAGAATAGCGGGTGTTGGTCACTTCGCAGGAAACTTTTCGTTGTTTCCTTATTTCCTCCCCGCCTGTGGACAAGCTGAGCAGCTTCTCCACCTCAGAGCCAGAAGCCGTCCGGCCGAGCAGTCTGGACAGTTCCAGGCGCGGGGCTGGGGGGACACTGCGTTGCCACCAGTGTCTTCCCGCAGGAGGAGGTGAAACCGTCCGTGCCGACCCCTGGCTGTGAACTGGAGGTCTTTTTCCCTGTCGACTTTTCCAGGGTTAATATTTGTGTGTTTAAAAGGAACTTTACAGTATGAACAAAGAATTTGACTACTTTTGGCGGGGACAGAGGTTTTAGAGGGACATTTTAGCACGTGGTAGGAATGACTAGAGTTCCCCAATCACGGTGAAGCTACCCGGGACAGCTCAGCAAGAAAGGTCGTTTGCTGCCAATACTCAGGACACATATCGCTCCCCCCTCAACTCCCAGCCCGGGTCATTTTGCCTCTCCTCCCCCACTTTTGGCACAGTTCTGAGAGCATTACAGAGCTATCCCTTCCAGCCTCCCGACCCTCATCCCCTCCCCCTCTTCTTTCTGGTGCTGGCAATTAGGGTGAAGAAACTGGTGCCAGGATCCTGCCTCTGAACAGAAAGGAATTGCTTCGGGAATTGAGTCCTGACACCTGTCTCTGTCCCGGTCCGGGATGGGGAGGGGGATGTTGGGTCACAACGCCAGAATAGGGGAGGCCAGGTTGATTCAGGGTCGGGTGGGGCTAGGAAGTAAATGCTCCCTAAAAGAACACTTTGAGGGTTCCTCTTGCCACATCTCCCCAGCCCATTCTTAGCTTCCAGCTTCACTCAGGTCATGAACACGCAGGTTATTAACGCACTTTCCCTTGCCTTTAGCACCCTAAGATTGGGACCTACGGCTGGAATCAAAAGCAACACTGGCAAGCCTTTCATTAATTTGCATTTATTTGGGGGAAATAATGTAGATAGAGGGGGAGGGGGGCGGCCTTACATTTCAACAAGTAATTTGTGATCTTCACATTGGACAAATCAAATTTACAAATTACTTTCCCACCTACTGGACAAAGCGGCCAAAACCGAAATTGATACATAGGCTCGCAGGCTTTCCAGATTTCAGAGAATGAAGGTGCACTAAAAACTCACTAGACAAAACAGGGATGTGTAAAACAGAGCGATTGGAACTGGGGCTTGGGGCCTAAGTTTGTTTATCCATAATGCCATTTTTTAAAAACCTTTTTGTTTGTTTTCTTTCTTTCTTTTTTGTAGTGTTGGGTTTTTTTCTTTTTAAAAAAAATTTTTGGTCTCTAAACAGGAACTGTGATCCCGTGCTCAGTCCTGTGCCCAATTCCAGTCTGGCCCCCCAACCCTGTGCCCTGACCTGTTTCCTCCACATTCCCGGGTCCTCTGTGCTCAGCTTCCTGGAACCAAGCAGTTTTCTAATAAATACACAGAGGGAGATGTGAAGAGAGCAGGACAGCTTTGTAACAATTGGAAAATAAAAGCGCCATCATTTGAGGAAGGCAGGAAGGGGGACAGAGGGGAAAATATGTTTTGCTTTTGTTTTTATATATATGTATATAGATATATATATATATGTGCTGTATATATCTTAAAGTTCTGTTTCTTGGGCGCTAAAAGGAGATACCTCAGTTCAACCAACAGCAACTAAAAAGTTTAAATGGTCCCTGGAACGGACCCGACTATGTACAGCATTCCCGCTGAGGCGGAAGCTTGAACTAGTCCAGCGCAGGGTGGGGACAAGGGCTCTGTGCTCGAGGCTACATGAGTGCTCTTCTTGCGGGCCTGGCCCCATGCACCCCGCAGGGAAGGAGGAATACCCAGAAAGCTCTGGCTTGCCGGCGCGGAGCAGAATCGAGGGCAGCCGAAGGGGTGACAGTCTGCGCGGGAGAAACACTTCAGTGGTTGTTTTGATTTGGAGTAGTGTGTGGGCGCACTCCAATGGGCAGATTCACGCCAGTCAGTGACTCCAGTGTTCAGAAAGAATAAATAATAGTGTTGGGCTCAAACAGTAGATCAGAGCGAAAAGCCTCCGAAGGCTGCAAGTGCGTAATAGCTGTCCAGAATGATGAGGGAGTAACTTAGTTCGGTGGGGGTTGAGAGGGAGAGCACACAGCTATCCCAGAGAACCTGTGGGAAAAGCCGAAGCATGGGTCCCCTGTTCACCCGGTAGTCGGGTTTACATATTCCCCCCAACAAGTGGCACAAGGGGGGAGGCGGCAGTGCAGGCAATGGGCATCTTTTGGGGGTGTGAAAATTCAGTTTTGGAGAAGCCGAGGCAAAGGCTGGCGGTGCAGCAGCAACAACAGGATGGGGACCACCAAGGGCGCAGGTAGTTGTGTTTTTTTGTTTTTGCTTTTTCTTTTCCCCTCTCTCCTGGGCTCACAAGACCTGGAACCGCCAAGAAGCTTGGTCCTTATAGTCCAGACAATCAGGCGAATTGAAGTTGAGTTTCCAGGCGGAAGAAGCAGCAGCAGCGCCAGGCTCCTTGTAATCCAAGCAGTCAGCAGAGTTGAACGCAAGCCCTGAGCCCCCGTAGCCTTGGTGGTGGTGGTGGTGGTGATGGTGGTGATGGTGGCCTGAGGATTGGCTCAACGGATGATGTGCGTGCGGGTGGTGATGATGGTGGCCTGCCATGGAGGAGGGTGCCATGGGGCTGAGCTGGTGCGGGTGGTGATGCGAGTGCATGGGTGCTAGGTATGAACTGCAGTCCACACCGCCAAAGTAGGAAGAGGAGGGCGCGGGGTAGCCCTGGCCATAGCTGCCACCCTGGCCGTAGGACATGGGATAGGAGGCGGCCGCGGTGGCGGCCCCTGCAGCTACCGAGCGCTGCATACACGAGGCATTGCTTGGCGCAGCCAGCGGCTCGGGCAAGGACACAGATGTCGGCGCTGAGCCGGGTGAGATGGAGGCCGGGCTCCAGATGGATGAGGCCGCGGGAGTACTCAGCGACGGCGCGGCGGCCACTGCCGGGTTTCCGCCTAGGCCCGCAGCCGCTGCCGGGATGGCAGGAGCGCTGGAGGCAGAGCTAGAAGACGAGGCAGAGCTAGACACAGCAGGCGGCGTGAACTGGCCGCTGCTTTCGGAGCCCGAGCTCTCCCGCACTGGAGATGACTTCTTCTTGACGGGGCGGCTCTTAGTTCCGCTCCCGCTCTGCTGCTGTTGCCGGCACTTGGCGCGGCGGTTCTTGAACCAGACCTGCAGCGGGCCGGGCGGGGGAGAGCAGGTCAACGTAGGGAGTAGAGTTACTGCTCCTCCACCCCTCGACCCACCACCCCGCCCAGGCCCTCGCCTCCCTCCGCAACCAAGCCCCCGCCCCTCCCCGCCTCGGGCCTGCCAGACGCTGCCCCTCCCCCACAGTCCTTCCCCAGCTCCGGCACCCTCCCCCATCTGTCTGCGCAAAGCGCCTCCTCAGCTGGCTCCCGAGTGGGGACGTGCACCTCCCCACCCCTAGCGCAACTCTGCCGGAGGGCTGCACGACTGTATCTGTCCAGCCAGTTCAGCCGTCTCTAAACTGTTTCCCTATAGTCCCGGGTCTGTTGGAGGGCCTGTTTTGTACGAAGAGGTACAGAGCAGTAGAACGACAGGCAGCCACCAAGTGTGGGTCTGGGGCCCTGGCAGTTCCACTGAGTCGGCTCCTGGTGATCCATGCAGGATGGCGAGAAAGTTTGGGTAGGAGCAGGAACAACGCTGGAGGCTGAACAGAACCCAGAACTTCCTTCTGGGCAAGGAAGCCCGGGTGAGATTTCGTTGGGTTTTTTGGCTCCAGGAAGGAAACCAAATGGAATGGTCAGTTATAAAATTCCCACTCCCACATGGCATTGGATTCCTGATCTTTTTCTCCAGCCTTCGGGGGAAAAGAAGGCAAGACAAAAGACCTTTGAAGAGAGTTCTAAAGTAGAATCCGCAGTGTTTTTGAAGCTATTTCATCTTAAAAAGGTAAATAGCAAGGCCAACAGCTGAGTTTTGCACTCCTGATAAGAAAGTGTCTAATCAGACCCACTTCTGCAATACAGCATCCTCCCAAGCAGAGCATGGGGCTCCACCTAATTTCCACTCTTGCCCTTCCAGGATCCCCGGAACATAAGGCAGGGTTGGGGGTACAATTCAAGCCTCCGAGAGACAGCCTGTCAAGCCTTTGGATGGCCCCAAAATTAGAGGCAAGTGTTGGCTCCTCGGGGCACTTTACCTTTGATAGCCTAACTCTCCTCCCCAAATCTTTTAAAACCGATTTTAATACCAAAGGCCCCCCGAAGAACAAGGCTGGAAATCAGGACTCTAAATCATTTCCTTTAACTTTGCCTTATTTTCTTGGCTAACGCCCAGCACTAGGGGGAGTCCAAGAGGGATTGCCCAGTCTGTAAACCCGCACTCCGCTCCCAGCAGACCACCTTTCCCAGACCTGCCTGAACGACCCTACCGTGCCTACTCTGACCCTAGAACTCCTGGAGCGCGTACCTGGACTCTGGACTCTGGCAGGTTGATTTTCAGCGCCACCTCCTCGCGCATGAAGATGTCAGGGTAGCGAGTCTTGGCGAAGAGCGCTTCAAGCACGTCCAACTGTGAGCGAGTGAAGGTGGTACGTTCTCTCCGCTGCTTCCGCGGGGTGGCTGCAGGGACATGGGGGGAGGCGCTTCGGGTCAATGAAGGTTAAGCCACCTTGTACTAGAGGCCTTGGGCAGCCCCCACCTCCAGCAGTCTCAGAACCCGGCCTAGACAAAATGCGCTCCTGTGCATGAGCACACACACACATACATATAAATATACACACACACACACACACACACACACCCCAAGTTCTGAGCAAAAGGAGTTCCCTTGGGAGCCAAGCCTGATTTGCCACAGGTGGGAGAAAGTGCCTGTATTGGACTAGCACCAATGTCTCCAAGACACCAGAGATAACCTCCTACCAGCCTCTCAGGAGTTAAAAAAGGAAAAAAAAAAAAAAAAAAAAAAAAGCCACACAATTTCCCCCCACAGCTCCCTACACCCACACACACTCCCTGGCTAGGAGATACAGAGCAAGGAGGAGGTCCAAGCAAACATCACCTGGAAAACACTTCCTCAGGAAATAAGCAGGAAAGGGAGACAGAAAAACTCAGAGTTCTGGTGAAGATGTTCACTACGCTGATGCAAAAGTTGGTTGAGGTTACCAGTCTAGAGGACTACAGCATTAAAGGAAGAATCCTTCCTTCTCAGTGTAGCCAGCCACTTGCAATAAAGGAAGTCTGGCTCTCTTATGTCAGGGCCTACTGAGTATCCAGATTCTTCACTCAATGTTGGGCGAGGGGGGGCACCAGATTCATAAAAAACTATGGTCACCTGTGAGAAACAAAGTCATGAGTAAATGGCTCCATGAAGGAGATGGGAAAGGACACAAGTTGCAGTGGACAGATCCGGAAGGCACACACACATTACAGTTTTCAAAAGCCCTGAGCACCTCACAGACCTGAGACTGCCCCATGTCCGTGCATCAGGGCCTATGTTGTATAAGGAAACTAGGCATCCAAATTTGGGCCTGTTTGATAATCAAGTGGGTTCAAATTTGAGAGGCTAGGGTCCCTAATGTCTGCAGAGTCTGGGTCAGTGTTGGAAGGGACAGTGCTCACCAGGATAGCCCACAGAGGGGTGCAGGAGGTCCATGGCGGGCCCAGCCAGGCCCAGCCCATTCATGCCATATGGGGGTTGTTTGAGGTAAGACATCATGCTAACAGCCGGGTGGAGGCGCCCCAATGGATCCAGGGGGCCTGGGGCCAGGAGCAGAACAGGGAGGGCTCCAACCTCAGAGTCCTTCAAGCTGTTGCTTCTGGGGGCCTGGCCTATAGAGACAGGAGATACACAAGAAAACATCACTTAGTACCACTTCGGCTTCTAGGTTTTGTCCCAGGCAAGGAGCCCCTAGATGGGTAAAGGGTGTAGACCACACAACTGCCCAGGGCAGTCCACTAGGCTCCTCATCTTAACTAAGTGACCACAGCTTATCCTCAAAAGTAAACTTTCTGGATAGTCACTGCCTCTTTGGAAGTTAGCATGGGCTAAAGACATTTGTTAGGAGTGAGGAGAGTAGTTAAAAGCATGGCCAGGTTGGGGAGGTCAAAGCTGGAATCACAGAGTGTGCAAAAGCCTTAGTGGAGGCAACACTTTAAGTCCAGCAGCTTCATATTGCATAAGCAAGTGTTCACTTGGCACCTAGACTTTGGATGGCAGAAACTGAGAATGTAAGGGGTTGTTTAGTTTTCTTTCAAATGAAAATGGATCATAGACGGTAGACACTACAGAGGGCTAAAACAAGATGATGAGGAGGGGTAACTGCACCTTGACCTCTTGGGAAGCTTTGTCCATGTGGCAGACGTGGTTCCTTCAGAGATCCCCATGGCTGTTCCCCTGCCCTGAGTCCATATTACTATCCTGGGTAACCTTTCAGTGCCCTGCCACTGAGACATCACTTACCAGGGATCCCACCACACCTCACCGCAGTCATGGCCCAGACCCCAGAGATGGCCAAAGAAAACCAAAGGGACTATAAGAGAAATGGCAGTTCCAGGACACCGCCCGAGGTCTGAAGTGCCTCATTTCGGGCCACTTGCCCTTCTCTGCCCGCATAAGGCAGGCCTTTCTTCTACCCAGTCGGGTTTGTGCACAACCGGATCCCATTAGGGGACTAGACGGACCAGCCTAGGGCCCCAGAGGGTCTTGGGGATTTGGGAAGCTTCAGTACAGCTGGTCGAGTGTGCTTCGTGCTATCCCATTAGCTGAACCCGCAGGTCCAGGACCCAATCGAGAATAGTGAACTAGGCCTCAACGGCAAAGCCCACGCAGACCTGAGCTGGAAGGTCGAAACCCCGTTTCTACCACTGCTCAGAAACCGGGGCACTACTCTCAGAGGTCAAGAAAGGGAGCTGGGTAGTGAGACAGGGGACCAGAAGGGCCTTATTGCTACACTTTGCTTTTCGGGAATTCTGTAAAGCAGGCCAGGAACCCAGATTAGGGAATTCAGGGAGAGAGTCGGAGCTAAAGCAGCTCCCCATCCCAACCCCCACCCCACTCTAGTCCTCTAGGGCCCACGGCCAGGGACAGGGGATCCTAGCTTCCAAGGGAGGAAAAGGTGAGCAGTCCGGGGTCGCCCTTCGGTAGAAGGAATATGGAACTGAAGTCACAGCGGCAGTTCTGCTGGGTTGCTGCGCGAGTTTCCAAAGACTTTCTCCAAACTTAGCACTTCAGCTTGGGTACTTCGGAGGAGGCGGGGGAGGGGACGCTCGGCCGCAGCAGAGGTCTAGGGTCCTCCTTGCAACAAGAAGGGGAGCCAGGCCTCTCCCCCCCGGCCCCGCCCACCTGCCCGGGTCCGTCGAAGCCGGGATCGGTTTGAGTAGGAGGAGGCAAGAGTAACCAACACGCTCCGAAGTCGCGGGCGGCCCCACGGCTTTCTCCTTACCTGCCCTCAGCTGTCGGGGCCGCTCACCATCTACCTTGCGCCCTCACAGAGATTAGCCGGGCAGCCAACCTGGAAAATAGAGCGGCACAGGAATTACCCCGGCGGCTGATCTAGAAGCCCCGGGTTTCTTTCTTTCCCCAACTTCCTTCCTCCCATCTTTCTCTTTTCCAGTAGCTTTGTGCGTGTCCCTTCAGGTTTCACTTTATTGCACAGACACTTTGTTTGCAAAGCCCCACACGCTCCCAGGACATTGCCTAGCCCGGGGCCGCGCCGAGGGGCCGCCAATAGGGAGGGGGCTCGAGGGGCAGAGTTGGGAGGTGGCTCGCGGTTGCCGCTGCACTCCTAGTGCAACGTGGAGGCAGTGGGGACTGGGAAGTCCTGCAGAGTCACTTTGCAAACTAAATAAATCAAGCGATTTACCTTGTCGGAGTGGCTTGTCTTGCTCGGTTGTTTAGGTGATTGGAAATGTAGCCTGATGAAGATTGATCACCTTTCTACTGCCCTCCCCGGGTATGTGAACGCGAGGCGAGTGCGTAACGGGGCCCGGCCGCCAATCCCGTGTCCCGCACGGGCTGAGTGACAGGGAGCCGGGCAATGGCTGCGCCAGCCGGGGGTTACCTCCGCGCACCCCCGCCCTCCTCCGCCCCCTATACCCCGCCCTCCTCGCCCGCCCACCCCGCCCCGGTCGCGCGCTAACTCTGGAGCTCCGCTGGCGAATTCCGCGCAGAGCAATGCGAGACGAGGAGAGCAAACGGAGCGCCCGGGTCCCGGCGGCAGAGAGCGCCGTGGGTCCCGAGGCCTGCCTGGGGCCTCCGCCCTTCTCTCGCCCTTTCGGCGCTTGCAAGGGAGTGGCGGAGAGGAGGCGAAGTCCTGGATAACCGGTTCCTTCTCTCTTCCGCGCGCCACCGGCTCGGCGGCCAGAATTTAGGCGCGAGGACTGGGGGCGGCGGGCTGGAGGGGAGGCGGTCCCGGCCCCTCTCTCAACGGCTTGGGCCCCAGCGTCTTCCGCCTCTGCACCCCACCTGCAGACGGACGCCGCGGGCGGCTCGTGCTGGTGTAGGCTGCCATGCGGAGCGCGGGAGCAGATCCCTTCTCGGCGCCCTAGACTCCCGCGCCCGGGAAAAGCACCCGCAGGCGGGACGCCGCCACTTACCCGCTCCCCGGCGCCTCCAGGGATTCCCAGTCCCGCCGACGGTGTCTGCACTTTTTAAACGCTTCTTCTGAACCGCTGGAGCCCAGTGTCCCTTTCCCCCTCACACATACTCCGTACTTCTCAGTCGTAGGATCTTGGTAGGAAACTCTTTCACACTCCTGTGCCGCTCCTTTCACGTTTCCACCACCCAGATCAGTGTGGTGGAAAATGTGGTCACAGACCCTTGCCCCTCAATAGCTTTCCCATATGCTGAGGAAGGAGCCTTCTCGAGGCGATTTCCCCGGATTGTTCGTATTGGCGAATCCCATTTCTCAGTCGAACAAACTTGCCAAGTCCGTTTACCTGTGTGGACTTTTCAAAGCATAAGAAAAGTGTTTTCGGCCCAACCCTGAGCAAAGCAATCCTTTTAAATGGCACCTCCTCATGAATATTAGGCACTACTTTGCTCCCTTTCGAGGAATTACTACCCCTTCCCCTTAATCCACCACTCCCCACCCTAACGAGCGGATTGAAAAGTTTGCACGGGAGTGAGGGCAAGTCGAGGAGCCGCCGGCCGCACCGCGGCGGGGAGCGCTCCCGTCGCCCGGGCCGGGGTCGGCACCGCGAGCTGACCGGGCGCTGGGTGAGGAGGAGGAGGAGGAGGAAGGGGGAGCCCGCGGAGGGATAGGGGGCCGCGGGCGCCACTCATCAAAGTGCTTCCCCTTCCCCCAAGCGACACTTTCCTTTGGAGTCCGAATAAAATACGGTAACAGAATATGATGGAGGGCACACTGTTTCCTTAACTGCTTCTCAAAGGACCGGGGAGATCTTCTTAGGACCTTTAATAAGGCTTTGGTCGGTTCTTTTGTTGATCTCTCAAAATCAACTCCTTCTAATTGAAGTTGGAGCTGAAAGCGAGCTAATGTTCAAAGAAAGTGGCCGCCAGACCAACGAAATTACATTTTTTTTTTTTTTTTGGACGACAAGGGAACATCTAATCAAAGGGGCAGAGAAGGCGGGGTGGGAGTGGGGAGTACGAAGGAGAAAAGGAGGTTTTACAAGATCCTTCCCTGGTTCACAAAAGTCAGCGACACGGGCGCTTCTCTCTAGAACAAAGACACCGCGGCCCATTCACAAACGGGAGAGAAAGAGAAAGCAGAATAAAAGAACGAAAGGAAAGAAAAAAATGAGAGAGAGAAAAAGAGGGAGAGCGAGAACACGAGAACGCGAAGCTTAAGAGGAAAGGCAACAGCGCAGAGCGCTGCGCTGGCCCAGGCGGGGTCACCTCAGGCTCAGGCTCGCCGAGGCCCCCGCCAGGAGCGACCCGCGAGGCGGCCGTCAGCCGCGCGTGGCCAGGAGCCACAGAGACCGTGCTGAGCTTTAGAGGAGGAAACGAAATAGCCTCCCGTCCCCAGTTGTGGGAAAGGGCGCGGGCTGGGGCGCACTGGTTTCAGGGGAAGAGTGTGCAGCCGTCCTGGGGCACCCGCTGGCGTGGTCCGCGTCCTTAACTTGGCGCTGCCAGGGCCCTGCCTGGCGCGATGAACGCCGGATGGGCCCTCGCGTGCCTGGCAGGATCCTGCAACCTTTCGTACTCCTGCCTCCTCCAGGTTGTTTTGCTGGCAGCCGCAGAACCCAGCCTGGGTCCGGCGTGATGAGGTGGGGCTTCGTGAGCGCTGGAATGTGCCGGCGCGGTCCCCAAGGCCCGCCGCGCGGGAGGCCGGCGTTCTCGGTTCCAGATGCTGCCTCCGGCCTCGGGAAGTAGGGAGGTATCAAGTAGCCCCCCCCCCCCCCGAGAGTATTTATCTAATCCTAAATTTTTGGCGAATTTTCTTAATGCTCAGCTCTTAAAACCCCGGGATTAAGACAAGAAAGACGAGAGGGGAGAGGGAGGTGAATCGAGAGGGAGAGACTGAGATGAAAGTTTCTTGAATGCAGCGCAGAGGACTGAGGCGGCCGCCACTAGGCAGAAGCCCAGGTGGGCGACTCTGGGCAGAGGCTGCGGCCCTCGCACACACCCCAGCGGCGCGGGGAGGGAAGGGAGGACCGCATCGGACGAGGGGAAGCCTATTAGTTTGAGGCTCACGGACCCGGAGGGGGCAAAGGACCTGGACTTTGAGACTCGGATCCAGCATCCGGGTGACCTCGAGGCGAGGCCGGACTCGCGCAGAACACCTGAGACCCGGGCTTGGGTGTGAAGCCCGAGCCGGGAGTTAGCCAGGGGCGAAAGTTCTGCACGGGCCCGTGGGCTGCGCCTACGCCAGTTCACCGCCGAGGCTCCTGCACCTCGGCGCCCCCCAGACCTAGCGTCTTTGATCCCACCACGAAGGCTTTCAAGTTCCCAGTCCCTCGGCGCTCTGGGTTCTCTCGCGCTCAAGGGAGCCGACGCCTGGGCACTGCGCACTAAAGTAGGAAGCTGCGCGCTCGCCGCCGGCCTGCCCCGGCCAGTCCCGGGAGCCCGCACTCCACCGCCGCTGAGGGGCGTTCAGGCGCCGCGGAGTAGCCCACACGGAAATCCTGCGAGTCTGGGAAGTGAAGCAGGAGGGGCAAGGTGAGGGGCTGCATAGCGGCCCCAACCACCCTAGCAAATCTGGGACTTAAAAGGTTTGTCATCTGGCAGATCGTGAGCGACTTGGGGGGCGGAGGAAAGCCGTCTTTCCGCAAAGGCCCCTCACAAGCTTCCTAGAATCCAGTTTACAAATGGAGTGGGTGCTGCGGCTCGCTTGAGCCCCAGGCTGCTTAGGGCGGCCGATTTCCGTCTGCGGGTTTCCCAGAGGTTAAAGCAGGTTTTGAGTTTTTCCCAGAGCAGCAGCTCGCTCTGTTCTCCTGCTCGAGTAAGGAGGGCAAATAGCTGGTTTCGTTTAGTTCCAGTAAGTTTTTCAATAACTTAAAATTATTTTCTAGTCATGAAGATATTCTACCGTGGCAAAATTGTGTCACTTTGAAAGACTGACAAATTAGAAGTGGCAGCAAACTTTTCGAACGAAATGTGTAATTGTGTGTGTGTGTGTGTGTCAGAGAGAGGAGAGAGAGAGAGAGAGAGAGAGAGAGAGAGAGAGAGAGAGAGAGATCGAGGCTTAAGTGTAAAAGCCAGTGTTTTCTCCAAGTTTCCGGACTTGTTGAACGAGCTTTCTTTGTTTGGACACCCCGTGGAGGAGTGATGGAAACTACTGTAGAACAGTCAGTTTTATCTGGGGCCTAGAAATTCTTGGTGAAATTTCCCCTTTCTTCATCTCACATACCTGCACACACTCCACCCCCAGCTCACCTTTCCCAAACACCCTCTTCCTTTCACTTCAGTACCCACAGACTTGCTCATTATCAGAAAACATGGTTCTCCACAGGAGAACTGCAAAAATTGGCAATTCAAAGTAGTAGCGTCAAAAATTCCTAAGAGTATTTTTGTTTTTAGTGGTGTGGAATCACACATTTCTTCAAGTCTTTAATAGGAGATGACCCTTTCCAAAAGGAATAATAGTTTATAGTCTTTAACAATATGACTATTTTTCAATTTGCGTATGTGTGTCAGCAGGGCTCCTCTGGGATCCTGTAAACTTACTCAGCTCAAAATGCAGTCCAGTGCCCTGCCCTTCCTTCCAGAAGATCATTTTCACATGAAAAATCTTATACGGATAGACAAACTTCTGCTCAAGTTTTCATTGCAAGAAAAACAGCAACACTGTTTAAGGTAAGAAAGATTCTGCTTTTATTGAAAATTTATATATGACTCAGTATTGTAATAAATAAACAGATAACCATTTTCACAAAAAAATGACAGTGCTATGCTAGAGAAGAAAATATTAATTGGGAGATTTACTCATAGTGGCAAGACACACTTTATCAATACAGAATAAATATTAACAGCATTCGTGAGCCAAAGTTGAGACCCATCAAAATATAGGAACTAAGCAAGATGTAATAAATAAGTATCCAGAGAAAAAGGTGGCACATTCTCAGATGGTAAAACTGTCTTTGTAAACTGCTGCAGGTCGATTAGTCTCATCCTCACAGCACACCTTCAAGCCACAGGACCTGTCTCAGGCTACCTTAAAGGGCCATCCTTTAAGGAACACAGAGAAGTCTATTATCCTTACAGTGAAATGCAAAACAACTGCAGAAAACCCCACTGGTAAATAGAACACAGTTTAATAAGTAGATTGCATATGATCTAACTATGATTTAGGTAACAGAATGTTACATATGGCAGGACTGGAAGAAATCATTCATAACATTTTTCTTATCCCTTTGTTGCCCCCCTCCCACTGTCATTATACTATTACCAACACCAACCACAACCACAACAAGAACAACAAAATGTTTGAAATTTTCCTCCCATCTAAGGGAAAATGTAGGAAGTAATTTTTTAAAATAGTTTCTTGAAAACCTTCATTCAGTACCAATCACTCACAAGGTATCTGTGCAAATCTTATTTCACATGATTTCAAAAGAATGATCAACTCATTAAAATATCCTTAAAGCTACACTGGAGTCTTGTATATTATCTGGAAAGAAGGGAGGAAAAGGGGTGGTGGTACAGAAGTACAATTCAGCCGAATAAATGTTATAAGTTTTAAATCAAAGAGTCTGTTTCTGGTCTAGAGACTCAAGACATTAAAATGTTGGGAGAGATTCCGGTCTGATGCTACTGAAGAACACATTTCTCCTCTTTCTTGGCCATTTTGCCTTTGTTTTGCTCCAGAGTTCGCTCCAAATGCTCATCTTCTTCTTCAGCCCTGGATGTCAAACAGGAAACAAAATTATTTTTCTTCCCAGAGGGCAGAGTAAGCTTGCCCCACATTTGGGTCCTCAGCGGGAATGCAGAGCACCAGGTCAGCGGGAGGCTGCCCTAGCCCTCTGGAGACCTCAGGATTGAACTTTCCGCAAACTTCTTGGCCGTGTGGCCACACCTGGACCCTAACCCCAAGGCCCACTCACTGCTTCTCCTGCGCATCCAGGTCCCTGACGAGCGCGTCGCGCTTGTTTACCAGGGCCACCAGCTCATCCAGCAGGAGCTGCTCACGTCGCTTCTGGGCCTCCGTCTTCTGCCAGTCTGCAGAGCACAGGAGGCTAGTTACCCTCGGCACAGCCTCGGTATGCTTCGCCCCCGCCCCCTCCCCTTCCCGCCTTTTTCAGTTTTCTTATATCTCTAAGCAAACCATGTTAATGGATCCAGTAGTTTGTGCTTTCTGGGGCATTTGGCCGTCATGATGAAGGCTTTATACCTAGAAACCTACTTTCTAAATATTTCCTGCAGATGGAGATGGGTGCTGCAGGGTTGGAACCTGCTAGAGACCAGGTGTGAGCTGATGGCCAGCAAGAGATACACACCTGAATCCAGCAAAGTGGGGGAGGGGAGCTGGAGGCCTGAAGAGGTTGGCCCAACGGTTGGGAAGGGGGTGTGGGTAAATGAGGAGGCGGGAAACAGAGAGGGCGATAAAATCATTTTGAAAGGACTAGAGAATCTGCCAGAGAACCTACCCTCCTCCCCCACCCCCACTCTCACCCCAAACAGCCCATTCTTCGCTAATTTCCTCTTCGCTCTATTTTAGCAGTTGGATGTATCTCACACTGGGCGCCATATGCTTCACAATAACTTTAAAAGTAGTGAATCGGCTAATTAGCATTTTTCTTTGAAGTAAAAAATAAATTTGCTCTGCAATATTACACTGCAGCTCTCGATCGCATCACAGCCAGTTTTCTTTTGGAGACGTTTGCTGGGTGGTTTCAAATTAAGGCACTTTTTGCAAAGGAAAAATTACATATTTCTTTTTGAAACCTCATGTTAGAGGTTGGAAAATCCAATGGGCAGTGCTTTTTCCATGAGTAGGGGCTGTTTTATGAGAGTTTTAGTCTCCACTAATATATTTACTAATCCTAACTGGCCTAATAATTTCCTTAAGATGAGCAGCAGTTTCATTAAATAAAAACAGGACCAAATCGAACATTTAAAACACTTTTGAAACCAAAGCCAACTGCTCTCTGGCCAGACTGTAAGGGCTTGTAGCTGTCAATCAACCCCCTGTCTACCCCGCCTCCCTCATTAGGAAGGTAAACAATGAAAAGAAGAAGTAGATGATGAGGCAGATAGCAGAACAAATGAGGACCTAGAGGGAAACAGGACACCAGCTTAAAAAAAGAAGAAAAAGAAGAAGAAGAAGAAAAAAAAGAGAGACAGAAAAAGAAAAGAACCCCTGGCCACTGACTCTTGCAGTCTCCCTCCCCCCAACAAATGCACTTTCCAAAAAACAGAGGAGTGCAATCCTTTTGGGTTTCTCTCTTCTCTCTCCATTGCCCTGGGCAATCATGTTAAAACTCACATGGCTGGTGCTTATTCAGATAAACCTAACAATGCACACCGCTGGTTACCATGTGAATCTTCACAAACCACACAAGAATGTGCTGGTTCAAATCCCCCCCACCCCCTCCAAAGCAAAATTTATTCAAGACAGCAAACTGCTCAGCATCTTTATGAAAGCAAATGGTGCTAGAGGGAATTGTATCTTATATTTACAAATTAAAAATTAGATCCATCATCGTGCATTAATGGTTAGAATAGCTGTAAAAAGCTGGAATAGTTAAATTTTATCACTACTCATTCCATTATAAACTCAAATACATAGATGAAATGTGAAACATGTCATATGTTAATCACATTCAATACAAAACACCACACAAATAAATACATTACATAATTAATCACTATTACAATCCTACTTTTTTGTGAAGTCTTCTATAGTATGGAAAGAATAAAGAAACATGGAAAAGTTTCTCTGAATATAAAAATTTCAATAGCAAGTGAGAGTGAAGAGAAGCCATATCTATCCATTTTACTCTTTGGATTTAAATACAACTAAAGACAGGAATGTTAGAAATTTTCCTAATCTGGTTCTTATTCATAAAGCACTCTTACTCTATACACTAGGTAAATTAATACTCTTCAGGTGGAAAGAACTTTTAGGTCATTTAGCCAGATTCCAGGTAACTGAAATTCTAGAAATATTAACACAGAAAAAAAAATCTACTAAATTTATAAAGAATTTGAAACTACATTGTATACTTATTAAATTACCAGTTTTGATGAATAAATGATTCAATTTCTAATCTTAGTAAGCTATCCTGATTCAAGGATTATATTTATAACACTTCTACACCATTTTCATAACAGCTTTAGAAATGGAAATAAATGTACTTTACTATAGACAAAAATATAATTAAGCCAATTTAAAAAAAATAAATAAAATAAAATTTAACAACAGGTACATAATTTTAAAAATTAAAAACTTTACATTTTTAGTCTGATTCTGAACTTAAATAGGGCTTTTAAGGCTTTAATCATTAATTAAAAATACCAAGATTTCTTTAACATTGGAAAAATTAGGACTTTAATTATGTGGATTAAAGGAACATTTTTAACTTCTGAAGTGTTGAATCCTTTTTAAAATCTTAAATTTTTCCTCGCTCACTAATGATATTTCCCATTGGAACAAAAACATTCTAAAATTAACAAACTTAGGTAATTTTCAAGTCAAGTTTAACAGAATTTAAAATATTCTATCATAAATTTACACAAGTTTTCATATGAAATCTATCACTATTACATTAATATCTGCTATAAAATATTGGTCACTTACAAAGCAAATATCCATGTGCAGTGAGTAGATTTTTACATTTACAAAACTGTAGTTTTACCTCATATTTGCTTTCTCATAATTGGCATAAATTATGATAAACACATATATACACTCAGACATACACATATACATTATATATAGTCAAAGGCTAATTGAAGAAATTAAGCAATTTCGATCATTTTAAATAAAAGTTTAATATCACATTTAAAACTGATAAAAATTTACATTTATATGATCAAGTCTAAATTTTTAAAATCCTTTTTAAATAGTATCACTTAGACATGCCCTGTTTTAAAAATATGCATGTAAGTTTATAGTTTACCTGTTATGCATTTTAAGAAATGATCATTCACCTATAACACCATTTACAGCAGCTAGCTGTACTGATTTTGGCTTGGATAGACTAGTGTGATTCTGATTAATTTAAAGATTCCAGTGTACTTTTGCTACAAAAGCCATATCTGCTCACAACAAATAGGATTAAGTTTTGATGCTGCATTTGAGCCAAAGTGTTGAAATAAAGAGATTCTGTTTATGTCCATCTGCACAGAGCTTCCTTGTTAATTTTTTTTAAAACCCTCTTTTTCACATATAGGTCCAATTATTCATTCTCATTCACTTTATTTGCTAAAGTTAATAATTACCTTGAAAAAAGGCAAGAGAAATACCTATAAACACTTAAGTAGAAAGGGCCTAAAGTTCTTACAGTAAACCTTCAACCTTGCCACTATAAATAAGCCTGGCACTTTGATGAAAATTAACACTAGTTTTGTAAAGAGCACATTGGGGGATTGCAGTCAAGTCTTATCTTTAGTTCCAGTCAACTAGCAATCCTGAAAGAGTTTGCATCATCATCAGAACAGGCCATTTGATAGGATTCTACTGCTGTACCTAATCAATCTATAGAAGACTGTGGCTGTGCTGTGTAACAAAGCTAAAATAGATTTACAAATGGGGTTTTAGGGGATAAGCTCCTCCACAGGATTACATATTGATTTTAAATATAAAAAGCTTATCATATAAACCATAACTACAAAAATAGTGAACCTATGCATAAATCCCTTTAGAAGAGCACCCACTTCAAACTCTAAGCCAAGAATAAATCAAGATGTACAAAATCCTAGAGAAGATCCATTTCTTGTGCAGAAAATGAACATACCACTTTCTAAAAGCCCACCCCAATGTGTGCAGGAATGAATTTATTTTTCCTGAGGGGGCATTAAATAATCTGGAGGAAAAAAACTAGAGGAAGAGTATCTAAATGATGTTTGTCAGCTTGAAGGATTCAACAGTTTAGTAGAATGAAACACCTGCTATGAAAACACGTTAGGAAGAAAAAGTGGTACAAACACCAGGCCAAAGTGATTATGGATTATCCAAAGAATAGATGTATTGATTTTTATAATTATTATTCTCTCAAACCAAATTCTTTTATTGCAATATGTTGTAACTATTAATATTTTATCCCTCGTAAAAGATTTCAGCAGCACATTTACTTGAAAAGATGTATTTATTACTAAAACTATCTAATGGCTATTAAGGAGAAGAGAGGGGAAAGAAAAGAGTAATGCTTTAAAACAAAGGAAAGCAAAACAAAACTAAGTAGCATTGCCTATTCATATATTCCTCTGTGGCGCTTTAACACTTCAAGAGGCTAGTGGACTGCATGTGTGTCCATGTGTAGCTGGCTCAGAGGATCCTGCCCTCACAAGACTGACCACATGATCAGCACCTCTCTTGGACAGCTGTCTATATCCCAAGGCCTGCCCAGGCTGGTGGGACAAATCTTTCTCTAAGAAAAATGTCTTTACATGTATTCAACAGGCTCTTCCTCTCAAGTCTCTTCCTTCCTCTCAACTAACAATAAAAATGGCAGAGAAACTGGAGGCACAGTTTCATATGGACAATATACTTTTTAAAAATTCTTAATCAAAGGGCTAAAAACTGTATTAAAAGTATTTTTAAAAGAAAAAAATTTCTTCAAAGTCTACCACTCTGTATAAGAAAGTAACACTGTAAGTCTATATACATGGATAGACTTGCCAATTTAACTGGGATCTTTTACATATGTAAAGTCCTTTTTTTAAAAGATGAGTGTTTGGGAATAATACTGGTTTGGGGGATATAACTATTATCTCCCACTAAAAATCAACTTACTATAACAAATTTATTTTAGGGACAATTTATCTCTCTGTAGAGATGAAGATGGATAAAAAAATTTAAAGACTTTATATTGAGTACAATGTATAATGCATCTATAAAAATATACTGTATAATGAGTCTTTTATTCTATATACTACATATACATACATTATATATTACATATATATCCAATATAAATAGTATTTGCTGCATCTATTTTTCAACTATTTAGCTTTCAGTCTCTTTTAGAGTAAACTATGACTACCAAAATCATATGAAGAAAAATATTGCTTAGTATACTCGTGTATTTTATTTTATTAACTTCATATACTTTAAATAATTTTGCCATATTTTATACTCATTATCAATAGTATGTTTTATTTGGATAGCCATTTGAAGGAAATTAGCTAACTGAAGTCTTAAACTAGTGTATAAATGAGGTTTACACAAATGTTGTCAGAGACACTTATCAAATGAGATATAAGTAACTAAAACCTCTGTCTATAAAATATAAGATGGCATGTAGATAAACAGGGCACATATTTTACAATAGTATTATATTAAAATATTTTAAGAATATAAGACTTCACTTCGCTTTCCCTTAGAAACTTAAATTTCTAGTTTCTGAACTAATTAGAATTGACTTATTATGGATCAGGTAGCTTATCAGGTGAAGAACAAAATTACCATGGACAGTCAATGGGTTAAGAGGTCAATATAGAATGGGAAAATCAATTTGCATTGATTAGACAAAAGATCCATTTTACAGAGCCCAAAGGATTAGCTTTTAAGCAAAATCTCTGAACTATAAGACATTTTCAACTGAGAGATAAAACACCTACGAATTTGAAAAAATATACAGTAAATGCTATAAACTAGCTAATGTTTGCTGATATTATGCATCATGCATAGAATTACTATACAATTCATTTAAAAGATTTATTAAAATTTTGAAAGTTTCATTTATTTCCATACCAATTTTTACCTTAATATTCATTTAATAGTGATTTGAATCTTATAAACTGTAATAGGCTGGGCAGTGACATATTTCATTGCTTACATCAATCAAATATTATGACCAAATTTAGAATCTAATGGTGAAAAACCAAAATGATAAAGCTTTTCTAAATCTCTCCAATGGAAACAACTTTAAAGTTCATGAAAGTAAAGTATAAATAAACTAATCAACTCCTTATATTTTATGGAAATTTAGGCTTACCAAATCAAAAGAATAATTTTGTGCTTAATAGCAAACATAATGGTTATCAGAATTAGGGTCCTTTGGTTTATATGGGTACTGTTTCTGCCTCCAAGACATTTATTTGCAATTCCTGTATGTTCCCAGTAGACAAGACCTTGTAAA